TACTATAGAAACATGTGGGAAAAATAACCAACAAATACTGAAGCAGCAAACTTTGCAAAACACAAAATTTATGTCACTGCCTAAACTTTTGGCCATGACTGTACAGTAGATGAACTCTACACTTATGTACAAATATTCAAATGCAAAACCACAAAATTTCCACCTCAACTGCTGACATCAAACATATCTATTGTGTGATTTGGAAGAGCTGACCCACATCCTGACTGCGATAACAACATTTTCCATCTTGTCTGAGAGTCCTGCTTCCCTCAACATTGATTTAACAAATTAAGCTTTTTGTTTTTTGGCAGAGGATGGCGTGTTGGTGTGCCATCAAATTCTTACAATAGCACATAGATGTTTGGCCAGTCATGATGAGTCACATTACACTACATCACTGCACCACCATGATCAGCTTAATGGAAAGAAGAAGAAAAAACGCCCCGCCTATTATAAATGGATGAAGTCAAAATGTGGAAAGTCTTGTATAAAGCCCCTCCACTATAATCATAATGTCATTAATATTCATGAGTGAATTGTCACCATTTAGTGACATCACAGCCAGCATGTTGGTGAAAACCCTTTCATCATGAGACAAATACTCTCAACAGGCATAGTTATGTCTCTGGGAACAGTAGGTCATGAAGTCTGAGTTACGGTCGGCAGACCTGAAGTTTAGAGGCCAATTGACAGGGAAATACTGTATAATCAGAATGGAGAAGTAACCAGTTCCTCTTCTCATCGACAGAAAAATATGAATCAGTGGATAATGTAAATAAAGAAGACACTGGGGAAAAAAACATCAATCAGTGTGCTTTTGGCAAAAAGGAAGTCAATGCAGTAGATGTGTCTGTTCATCCCATTAATTGATCTCAAGCTGTGAGAGAATCTGATAAATACTATAAAGCCTCCCCCAAAGCCACTGGTAAAGAGCTATTGCTTCTTTTTAGCAGCAAGTGTGTCTTAACATGATGTCTGATATTGAGCATTTCTCACAGCAAGCAATCAATAAGTGACACGTCATTGAACTTCATAAGCACTGCTACCCTCTGGTGGAAAATGAACATATTCAAACCATTAATAACATATGTCTCAACATCTCTTATCAAAAACAGGTTATAAAAAGACATAAAAAGCCACAAAATGGGAAAGCAGGGCATATTTATTTTTATTATTGCAAGCTTTCATAAAAATGATGATAGTCCATATGAAAAACCTTTTTCCATCTATACAATCATTTATAAAAATGGTCTTCTCCGAGACATGATTGTAATAGAGCTTTTACAAAACATAATCTCCATAATCAGTAAAGTTACATCAAACCAAACTTTACACATATTTTGGTCCAATTTAATTGTAGGAAGTCTTACACTGTTAGTAACAACATCAAGAGAAAACATTTAGTCAAGTAAAAAAAATACATATGAATAAGGAATGCTGATTTATCTTTAATAGCGAAAGGATGTGAAGGCTAACTATGAAACTAAATTAACTAAAACTTAAATGGGTGGCATTTTTCACAATAGAATCTGACTTCAGTCTTCAGTCAAGGATGAGTTCAGGAAAAACATGCAGTTCACTTGAGGGAAAGAGTTTCTTGCTTACACATATATGGAAGCACCATCTTATTCATGGCTGTATAACCTTTACCATAAAAAACTCTGGATTCCACAAACTACTAATAGTAACTGAAAATTGAGACTTGTGCGATTCACCCACACCTCAAAAGGGGACATAAGAGTCAGTCTACAATTTAAAACAAAAATAACCAGATTCAATACGAAAAGTGCTGTTTTTGACCCTGGCAAAGGGCAATTTGAAAGTATTTGATCGTAAATTAATGTCAGCATTTCCTTGGTACATTTTTATGTAGTAATCTGTGACACTGGGTTGTGTCTTCAGATGAATCTTGATTCTCGACTGAACAGAAAAATGTTATAAAGAAAAATATCTGAAGAATTTCATGTCACGTAACACTTTATACTGCTCTGTTTGTCGTCACACATCAATTTACGTAATAGTTCATGATTAGTTTGCATCAGCTTTCCAGTGTGACAGCAAAAAGTAGATAAATCCAATTTAAAAGGTACGAAATTGCAGTCATAATCAAAACAGAAAATCACTGAAATTATGCACTTTCTTCCTCTGTCACTGTGGTGATTTATATCAGTCTGCATAATCCTAGCTAAAACATCTCATTGAAGAATTTCATGTCACGTAACACTTTATACTGCTCTGTTTGTCGTCACACATCAATTTACGTAATAGTTCATGATCAGTTTGCATCAGCTTTCCAGTGTGACAGCAAAAAGTAGATAAATCCCATTTAAAAGGTACGAAATTGCAGTCATAATCAAAACAGAAAATCACTGAAATTATGCACTTTCTTCCTCTGTCACTGTGGTGATTTATATCAGTCTGCATAATCCTAGCTAAAACATCTCATCTTGCAAAACTTGGAATACTTAAAAAAAAAAATAATAATAATAAAAAATAAAAAAAAGATAAAGGATGCGAACACACACACTGTGTTATTGATAATTCAAATAAATGGGAGAGCTTTTGGGTGATGTCATGTTCTGCCCTCAGTTTGGTGGCAATATACTGGCAGTAAAAGGGGGCATGAGAGAAAAAAAACAACGAGATAATGTAAACATGGTAGAGACATTGCTGGTAGTGGCTCTTTTTCATGTTTTGGAGAGGTTACTGAACCCCATTTAAGACTTTTGAAGTAGGTGCATTCAGGTTCCCCTCTAATGGGTTGGTAACAATGCACGGACCTCAAGATGATCCAGTGACCGAGCTCATCGTGTGGGTCAGTTGCTATTGAGGATCTCAATGCTGCCCTGCAGAAGGGACACGCTGTTCTGTAACACATCAATTTACGTAATAGTTCATGATTAGTTTGCATCAGCTTTCCAGTGTGACAGCAAAAAGTAGATAAATCCAATTTAAAAGGTACGAAATTGCAGTCATAATCAAAACAGAAAATCACTGAAATTATGCACTTTCTTCCTCTGTCACTGTGGTGATTTATATCAGTCTGCATAATCCTAGCTAAAACATCTCATCTTGCAAAACTTGGAATACTTAAAAAAAAAAATAATAATAATAAAAAATAAAAAAAAGATAAAGGATGCGAACACACACACTGTGTTATTGATAATTCAAATAAATGGGAGAGCTTTTGGGTGATGTCATGTTCTGCCCTCAGTTTGGTGGCAAGATACTGGCAGTAAAAGGGGGCATGAGAGAAAAAAAACAACGAGATAATGTAAACATGGTAGAGACATTGCTGGTAGTGGCTCTTTTTCATGTTTGGAGAGGTTACTGAACCCCATTTAAGACTTTTGAAGTAGGTGCATTCAGGTTCCCCTCTAATGGGTTGGTAACAATGCACGGACCTCAAGATGATCCAGTGACCGAGCTCATCGTGTGGGTCAGTTGCTATTGAGGATCTCAATGCTGCTCTGCAGAAGGGACACGCTGTTCTGTAGTGAGTGTACAGAATAGAGAGCACAACAGAGAGAAGAGAGAGAGAACAGATGGAAGAAAGTTAACGTGTTGGGCCAAAACTCACTAAGAATCAAGGTTTTCCCACCTATTAACCAACAAATCTCCATGACTTTCCAAGTCTACCATGATTACTTTAAGGGTGCCTAAGGTTTGTACTTTTTTTTTTTTAAACCACTGCACTCAAAAAGAGCAATATCTATAGCTGAGCATATCTAGAAAAATGTACACTACTGTTCAAAAGTTTTGGGTCAGCAAAAAAAAAAAAAAATTTACATTTCTTTTTATTTTTATGTTTACCAAGGCTGCATTTATTTGATTTACAAATACATTTTATTTGTCCTTCATTTATACAGTATAGTGAAATATTATTAGAATATAATTTTTTTTACATATTTTAAAAGCAGTTTATTTATTCCTGTGATGGCATGGCAAAGCTGAATTTTCAGCAGCCATTAGTCAAGCCTTCAATGTCACATGATCCTGTGATTTTTTTTTTTTCAGGATTCTTTGATAAATAGAAAGTTACCAAAAAAAAAAAACAGCATTTATTTGAGGTACTATTACTTTTGATCAATTTAATGCATC